CTCAGATTCCAGATTTTCAAATAGTTGTATCTCAGCCAAATATTGTCCTATCCTAACAAACCATACGTCGATGGAAAGCTTATTTATTCAGCTTTCAGATGATGCATAAATCTCAATTTCAATAAATTTACCCTTATCTTGTTTTGTGGTCCATGGTCAAATATCATTAAGTTAATACAGCTTATTTTTTCAAATCAATTTGAAATATTAATAAATATTAAGATAATGTAATAAGATAAGCAATTATTCATTAATCGTCATTATGCCAACAGAGCTTATCAACATAACATACTACTGATTATGATAAATTATTACTTTGACTGGAGTAATATTTCATTGGGGGCATTTAATCTTAAATACTTGATTTGTGTACTTTGTCCACCACTGCATATAATTAATAACTAATAAACAACAGCATCACTATGCAGGGCATTGCACACAGCTGTGACAGGACCAGTTCAACTGGGACGATGTGAAGGTGGATAAACACAGAGAGAACTATTTAGGTGAGTATGGAGCTAGCAGCTCTAACTAGCCGCGGCTAGCAACCCAGTCTACACTAGTACTGTGTAAAACGATTCCCAAATATGCGATTATATTCATACAAGCACACTTATTGTGCACTTTACACACTTGAATTAATTAATAATCGCCGATTAGAGCGCATGTAACTGGTTTGTGCCAACATTTTGCAGTTCACAGGCTTGATAAACCTATTCAGAACGCTAATAGCGAGTAGTTGTGTAGCTTGATTGCATTTCTGTAAAGATATTACTGATGATAGCAGATTGTCTTCTGGGCTAAACATGTCTGCTGAATAAAGTTTTTCGCGTTTGTAGCGTAAATGCAGACATTCCTACCTTTTTCCTTGGTGTGATCTCTCATCACATCGTCTGCTTGGTTTATGTGTCGGACACAGCTGTGGCTCTTGTAGGTGTGTGTGTTGAACTTTCTACTAGTTAAGGTACCCAGAGAGACATGAGACGCGGTCGCACTTTACAAATCCTACTACGGCGAAGACTGAGCTTCTGAATATTAATAAGGTCTTGCAGGCGTTGCCTGGTAACCTGCTTGGAGCGTCCCGCAGGAGTCTCACTAGAGCGCATGCGCATTGCTGAAGCGCAGGCCAGGTCTATGAATATTTAATATGACGTGCTGACGTCAGCGAGGCCTACTGTGTAAACGTGACGCAACCTGTTTAATATTCATAAGAAAATATCGTCATAGTAGGAGTCCTAATTTGATGTACCATTTTTTCTTGCCAAGACATTCAACTGACCTTTCGTGTTGTTTACATAGTTGCCTGCTTATCTTTTCTCTATCAGTCAGAAGGTCAGCATGAGCTTGGCATATTGATTCAGAGCTGCCATGCAGCAGGTTGTTATAGAAAACTAAAATTCGAACTATGAGCTATTTTTTGTTGCTGAAGATAAAAGAAACGTTAACTGAAATAAAATATAAAAACATATTTATTTCCACTAGCTGCCAAGGCAACATTTCTCATTTTTATTTAGTTTAACTTTAGTCATTAGTCAACTTGATGTAATAAAATAAGTAAAACTGAAATATAAATGAATAAAAACTATATAGACATATATATATAAAAAAAAACACTAAAAATGACTAAGATGTAAATTAAAATGGAAAATAACAACTGATTCAAAATATTGATAAAAGGGGTATATTTGTAGCAATAGCCAAAAATACATAGTATGGGTCAAAATTATCGATTTTTCTTTTATGCCAAAAATCATTAGGATATTAAGTAAAGATCATGTTCCATGAACATATTTTGTAAATTTCCTACTGTAAATATATCAAAACTTAATTTTTGATCAGTAATATGCATTGTTAAGAACTTAATTTGGACAACTTTAAAGATGATTTTCTCAACATTATGATTTTTTTGCACCCTCAGATTCCAGATTTTCAAATAGTTGTATCTCAGCCAAATATTGTCCGATCCTAACAAACCATACGTCGATGGAAAGCTTATTTATTCAGCTTTCAGATGATGCATAAATCTCAATTTCAATAAATTTACCCTTATCTTGTTTTGTGGTCCATGGTCAAATATCATTAAGTTAATACAGCTTATTTTTTCAAATCAATTTGAAATATTAATAAATATTAAGATAATGTAATAAGATAAGCAATTATTCATTAATCGTCATTATGCCAACAGAGCTTATCAACATAACATACTACTGATTATGATAAATTATTACTTTGACTGGAGTAATATTTCATTGGGGGCATTTAATCTTAAATACTTGATTTGTGTACTTTGTCCACCACTGCATATAATTAATAACTAATAAACAACAGCATCACTATGCAGGGCATTGCACACAGCTGTGACTGACATAAGGCACTTGAAGGTAATGGGCTCCTTTTCAGTGTCAAAATCAGAGCCATAATAGCACTTCACAACTTCTTTACTGTATCCTCAACAAAGAAAGATGATGCTACAGGCGACCATCACATATGATTTAAAGCTATAGCTCGTTTCAACTCACCTGACAAAAACCTGGAGATAAACCTAACATACATCGGGGAAAAGAAGTGATCAAATAGGGGGAGAATGTCTTTCTCCCTTCGCCTATAATCTTCCTCTCTCGCTCAGGTGACTGCTTTTCGCATGAGAGCCATTACTGATGCGTCGCTGGCGTCATCAGAAGGCGACGCACGCCTCGCAGATCTTTAGAACATCCGCGCGCCAAACCGCACATGATGTTGACATCGCGATCGCGTATTCTTACAGGGAAACGCCTCACGGACTATTTAAAGAAAATAAACAATTTTGTCACGTCGTACTGAATGGAACGTGGTCGACGCCCTAGTGTTTGCAGTGATTGAAAAGCGCTTCATGTTACATGTATGATATAAAAGCAGGCGGGTTCCCGGATGTTGTGGAAAACCAAGTCCTGGTTGTTGTGCTGCACATGTGTGTAAAACATCTTTCAGTGTGTTCAGCAGAAGTCATGTTTGGCTCATCGAGATCTGGAGGGGTGAGGGGGGGGTCAGGACCAGTTCAACTGGGACGATGTGAAGGTGGATAAACACAGAGAGAACTATTTAGGTGAGTATGCAGCTAGCAGCTCTAACTAGCCGCGGCTAGCAACCCAGTCTACACTAGTACTGTGTAAAACGATTCCCAAATATGCGATTATATTCATACAAGCACACTTATTGTGCACTTTACACACTTGAATTAATTAATAATCGCCGATTAGAGCGCATGTAACTGGTTTGTGCCAACATTTTGCAGTTCACAGGCTTGATAAACCTATTCAGAACGCTAATAGCGAGTAGTTGTGTAGCTTGATTGCATTTCTGTAAAGATATTACTGATGATAGCAGATTGTCTTCTGGGCTAAACATGTCTCTTTGCTGAATAAAGTTTTTCGCGTTTGTAGCGTAAATGCAGACATTCCTACCTTTTTCCTTGGTGTGATCTCTCATCACATCGTCTGCTTGGTTTATGTGTCGGACACAGCTGTGGCTCTTGTAGGTGTGTGTGTTGAACTTTCTACTAGTTAAGGTACCCAGAGAGACATGAGACGCGGTCGCACTTTACAAATCCTACTACGGCGAAGACTGAGCTTCTGAATATTAATAAGGTCTTGCAGGCGTTGCCTGGTAACCTGCTTGGAGCGTCCCGCAGGAGTCTCACTAGAGCGCATGCGCATTGCTGAAGCGCAGGCCAGGTCTATGAATATTTAATATGACGTGCTGACGTCAGCGAGGCCTACTGTGTAAACGTGACGCAACCTGTTTAATATTCATAAGAAAATATCGTCATAGTAGGAGTCCTAATTTGATGTACCATTTTTTCTTGCCAAGACATTCAACTGACCTTTCATGTTGTTTACATAGTTGCCTGCTTATCTTTTCTCTATCAGTCAGAAGGTCAGCATGAGCTTGGCATATTGATTCAGAGCTGCCATGCAGCAGGTTGTTATAGAAAACTAAAATTCGAACTATGAGCTATTTTTTGTTGCTGAAGATAAAAGAAACGTTAACTGAAATAAAATATAAAAACATATTTATTTCCACTAGCTGCCAAGGCAACATTTCTCATTTTTATTTAGTTTAACTTTAGTCATTAGTCAACTTGATGTAATAAAATAAGTAAAACTGAAATATAAATGAATAAAAACTATATAGACATATATATATAAAAAAAAACACTAAAAATGACTAAGATGTAAATTAAAATGGAAAATAACAACTGATTCAAAATATTGATAAAAACGAATAGTTTTGATAAAATAAATGTTTTTAATATAAATTAATAAAAACTAGTAGGTTTTAATATAGTTAATATAATTATTTTCTTGACAGTTAAGCAAAATTTCCACTGAAGTCTAATTACTATAATGCAAATAAATAATAATAATTCTATTATTATTCTAAAAAATATTCCAGATATTCTATTCTAAAAAAAAAATAATAATAAAAAAAAAGAATTCTCACTACAGGAATTCATAGTTTTTTTTCTTTGATTAAAACTGATGTAAATTAAATGCAGTACAACCAATATTGCAATTATGTAAAAATACAATTTAAATTAAATATTTCTGACAGTCTAATCTGTGATAATATATAATATGTTTCAACATCGTAATACCGAGAATGAGATTAATGTGCTTTACAGTGATGAAAATGTCTGAAAATTTGTCATGAAAATCATGTGACAATGCAAAAATCCTAATGGTCCTGAAGGTCATATATTTCTTTGTCCTTAAGCTAAATATAAATATGATGAAATATGACTTGTGTTAGATTTACCCAAGTTCCTGTGTTGATTTGTTATGTTCTTTTTTCCTCAGGGAATTCCCTCATGGGGCCGGTGGGCCGGTGGCAGAAAGGGAAGGATTTGTCGTGGTACGCCAAAGATAAGAAGAGCGGCGCGTCTCTGTCTAAAGAGCAGGAGATGGCAGTGGTGCGAGAGGCGGAGCACGAGGTCATGTTAGCAACGCTGTGAGTGTGATTGATTCATCAGGCAAGCGTGGAAGAAAATGAGCTCGCATCTCAAATGTTATGTATTTTCGTCTATTTTAGGGGTCATAAAACAATCAAGAGACAACCAACTGGCCTTACCAAAGAGGTTTGCATTTGTAAACATCCAAACGAGAACATTTCAGGGATTTGTAGCATTTCTCGTTGCTGTTTCTGACGCATATGTCATTGCTGCAGGATCTTGCAGATGTGTGCCGGACGGAAGGGGAGGCGGATGAACGGGACACGGTGGACAGGGCCTCTGGGCTCGGAAGCTCCAGGTGAAGCCAGTGCTGTATGTGTACAGGCTTCATGACAAGTTTGCTTGATCCAGACCTCTCTTTACCTGTTAAAGATACTGTAAAGTAAGGGTAATTGTATGGTGGAGTGTGGAATACTTTAGAAGTTAAACTTTGTTATTATCACAATGTCAAACATTGCAATTTCAGATTCGGTCCCGCTTTTTAATATGGTTTTCACTTGAGAAACTTTGCACTGCGTACATTGCTGCATGAAAAATAAAACTTAGATTTGGATTATGGATGGGTTATGCAATTTAATTGGCATTTGCATTGGAATAACAGGATTTTATTGAATTTTAAACATAGGTGATGCATTGTGGGAAATGTTCTTCCACCCTTGTCAACAAATAAATGTTCTATCTATCTATCTATCTATCTATCTATCTATCTGTCCTTCTGTAAGGCCTATAAACCTTTGAACGTTAAGGTTTTTTAAACAGCTTCTTTTTTTTTTACTTTTAAACAGAAAACGTAATGCAAATAAATATAATTCTCATCACAGGAATGCATAGTTTTTTTTTCTTCTTTAATTAAAACTGACATAAATGCATTACAGCCAATATTACAATAATGTGAAAATACAATTTAGATAATTTCATAATTATAACGCTCTAATCTTTGATAATATAATATTAAATGTCAACATTATAGTACATATTATACCGAGAATGAGATTTATGTGCTTTACCGTGACTAAAAAGTGCAGAAAAATGTGCAATTGCTTAATTGCCCGCACAACAAAAGGTAAAAGCAAAAAATGACTTGGTACACTTGGTACTGAATGAATATAAAACAGTGCCACTTGCCAAGATTGAACAATATACCTCGAGTACACAAGGTCTGACAATATTGTTAATAAATATTTGAATGAGCGCGTCTATTATTATATTCAGAGGCCACAAGAGAAATGCAAAAACTTTTGAAATGCATATTGATGTTAGACAAAATAAAATCACTACAGTTTGAGAAACAGCACTAGTTTGTAACTAGCTCTTCTAGCATTATACGTTACTTTCATTAATAAAAAGAATCTAATAGATGTGAGATTCTGGTGTTTTTCATCATCAGGGCAGGACCGAGAGGGATGGTGCTTTCCAAACAAGAAAAAGAAGCAGTAAAGATGGGCTTGCCAGTTTTCACGGTACATAGACATAAATACTTAGTATTGATACTAATTTGAATATGAGAATGTGTCATGGTTTCAATATCTCAACAATATGTGACCCTGGAGCACAAAACCAGTCATAAGGGTCAATTTTTTTAAATTGAGGTGTATACATCATATAAAAGCTGAATAAATAAGCTTTCCATTGATGTATGGTTTGTTAGGACAATATTTGGCTGAGATACAACTATTTGAAAATCTGGAAACTGAGGGTGCAAAAAAAAAAAAAAAATCAAAATATTGAGAAAAATCAGTTTTAAAGTTGTCCAAATGAAGTTCTTGGCAATGCATATTACTAATCAAAAATTAAGTTTTGATATATTTACAGTAAGAAATTTACAAAATATCTTCATGGAACATGATCTTTACTTAATATCCTAATGATTTTTGGCATAAAAGAAAAATCTATAATTTTGACCCATACAATGTGTTGGCTATTGCTACAAATATACCCCAGACACTTAAGACTGCTTTTGTGCTGCAGGGTCACATATTACAAGCACTGTAAACCACTGATCTTGTATTTATTGATTTGTTGTCAGCACCACAAAGCTGATAGACTGCAAGAAGCCAGTAAGACGCCTGAGGAAGCCCACAGACCTGATAAAGAAGATAAAAAGGATAATATATACGTGTTTGTGTGGTTCGTTTATGTGGAAGATTTTTAAAAATAGAAAAGAAGAAACATGAGAATTCATGACTACAAAAAAGGACACTACTGACAAAGACCACGGTATCTAAGTTGAGTACTGATATTAATTACAGATCTGACAGAAAGAAGAAGAGTAAAAAAGAAAAGAAAAGCAAGAAGAAAAAAAAAAGAGAAAACGAAGCACAGAAGCAGAAGTGACTCTTCAGATTCCGACTCTGAAAGCTTCAGTAAAAGGTCAACTGTCTATAGTAAACTAAAGCAAATGCCTTTGAAAAGAAAAGCAAGAAGAAAAAAAAAAGAGAAAACGAAGCACAGAAGCAGAAGTGACTCTTCAGATTCCGACTCTGAAAGCTACAGTAAAAGGTCAACTGTCTATAGTAAACTAAAGCAAATGCCTTTATTACTTTTGGTTGAAGCTTGTTTATAAATTGTGAACCTACAGAAGTAGTTTTCCTTCTCTGAGGTGTAACGCAGTCGGATCACAAGAGGGCGTTGTAACACAATTCTATTGGTTTTAGTTCATCACATCTTTTAGTTTAGAGTTTCCTCTTAGAGAGTTTTTTGACAACAGTGGTAGAACTATGTTTGGTTTGAAGAAAATGATCACAATGTGGCTTTATTAAAAAATGTAGTGAGCTGTTTTCTAAAGTATTATTTATTTCTTTACACTCCAAAGCAATTTGCAAGTAAGACTAATATATAAGCACAGGGGCCAGTTGCATAAACTTAGCCTCTATGTTAAGACAGTGTCTTAAGAACCAGTTTGAACAACTAGCAGTTAACCAAGGGGTAATCAGTCTTATATTTTGGATTCAACTTAGACTAATCTGCATTTTTATATAACCGAATTAAAAAATTTTGACCAGTCTTAAAGAACAAAATTAGATGACTAACTTTTAAGACTAGTCTAAATCTTTTATGCAACCGGCCCCACAGATTTTTAGTTACAATCTTAGTAATGTGTTAGATTTTAGGTAATGTATTCTGACTACTTTTTGATTATTTCTAGACTTTTTACCCAAGTCATTTTATCACATAGATTTGAATGGGATTAGTTTGTTCCATGTTGATATATATATATATATATAAAAAGAACAAAGAGAAAGAAAATGTATTCCATTCCTTATCAACATCATAAAGTGCATTTAACGTTACATGATGCCAGGGTTTTACTTGGCTGGGGTTAATGGAAGAATCGCAGGCAGTTTGTGAGTTGATGAAAAGCTAATAAATAATAAAAATAATAATTCAAATAAATTATTTTAATATTTAAACAATCAAAATAAAACACGTGAATGCTAAAAATAGAAGGTTTATTTGCTTATCTACATCATGTCAGTGTGAAAATCAGAGAACAGTAAACGTGAATGTGTTGTTAAAATATTGAAGTATTAACTTAAAGGGTTAGTTCACCCAAAAATGAAAATTAGCCCATAAATTACTCGCCCTCAAGGCATTCTAGGTGTATATGACTTTCTTCTTTCAGACGAATCCAGTCGGAGTTATATTAAAAATGGTCTTTGATCTTTCAAGCTGTTTAATGGCACTCAGCGGGTGTTGCATGCATCAGTCCAAAAGAAGTGAAATAAAAAGCGCCCATCCATAAAAAAAGTGTCTCACACGGCTCCGGGGGGTGAACAAAGGCCTCCTGTAGCGAATCGATGCGTTTTTGTAAGAAAAATATCCATATTTAAAATGTAATAATCACTTTAATGTAGCTTGCGCTCACTGTTGTACAAGGTACAAAAGAATTTAAAAAAATACAAAATTAAAACCGGATCAAGAAAATAAAATTTGGTTGGCCAGACAAGGCCTGAAATTGAAACTATGAGTCAAAATGGTGAAATTGTCAACTAAGTTACCTGTAAATCCATACAGTTTATCTGTAACATTAGCAAAAACATATTTTTCTTTGCAATATCAAAATGGTGATTAATGATTAATTTCGGCAACCAACAGATAAAATATATCAACTGAAACCAGTAGTTGATTTATTGAGAGAGCATTTTCTTGACACTTTTTCCTGATGTGAAATGTGCCCTAACTTATAGAATGACTCTTATATTCACATTATGCCTCAGTGACGGTAGATGAGGACAGGCTCTTCCTCATAGTCCATGTCTCACTTATGGTTTCCCCTCAAACGGAACCAAACTTCCCATGCTCACCAGGAATAAATGATTGTCTTGGTGTGTTTTGTTCTCCCCAGGCGTAGAAAGGATCCCCGGGACCACCATGGTCCTAATCCATCAAGGAGCAGTCAGAGTGGAGCCGGAGCCCGTGACAGCCATTCAAGAGGGGGGCTAAAGGCCGAGCACAGGACCCTGACCCCCCCTCACCAGCACCGCCGGCACGACACGGACTCGTCCTCTGATGGACACCGCGCTGGTCGAGGCTCCCCGGCACAAAGCTACCGGCGGCGCCATGATAGCAGCTCAGACGACTGATGCCCCGCTATCCACACCTCCTCACCCTGAGAACGGATCCAGTCGCCTCTTTGTCAGACTCTGGACAACTTAGGCCACAAGACATGGCAGAAGTGTGTGTGTGCGTGTGTGTGTGTGTGTGTGTGTGGCAGACTGATAAGGATTTCTGGGTGCATTACACTTATCCTGTAAATGTAGAGTAAAACACTGTCGTATTTGGTGCGTACAGCACTCATTCTGGACACAAAGTGCGACTGCATTTCCTTTAGTAACTGTACTTTATAAAACGGATAGTTCCGGTCCTTGATTCTGATTGGTTGAGCCACGTTCGAAGCTGTTGTAAATTACTCTACAAACATACACCTTTGTTTACATTTGTGTGTCGCTTGGCAAACACTTTGTTGCAACCACAACTGATTCATTGTTTGGTGGAAGAATAATGTTTTTACTAATATCATTACACTTTATTTGCTCTGTTTTATTTTGTGAAACCGTACTACGTATATGGAATAACCGTTTTATAAAAGCAATAAACCCCGTGAAGCCATGGTTTACAGTGAATTTATAACAACAACGCCCCTTAGCTGTTATAAATTCACTGTAAACCACGGCTTCACGGGGTTTATTGCTTTATTTTAAGGTCGATTCTCAGGAAATCTGTCCAAAATATGTCTTTGGTCACATTTCATCAAATTTTGGCTCAAGAAAATGAAGCTTGATTTAGGATATTAAAATTGAACATCAACATTTTTGACTTAATTTTCCCCAAAAATACTTGAATAAAAATGAGTAATACGCAATTTGTTGTACTGAATTTATGCAAATTAAAAAAATATATTTTTTTAGTATAGCAATCAGAAAAAGATAGAATGAAAATTTGGAACGACAAAAAACTAAAATTTGAAAAAATATCACAATGCAAAAAATGTTAGTAGTCGTAAATATAGGCTTTGAAATCGAATTACTTTATTTTTTTTTATTTTGAGGTGAAATGTAACCTGGACATGTTTTAGTCTTTGATGTATAAATAGAAAACACAGCAGACGTGAACACTTTTTATTCTTGTAAATGTTTAGTGAAAAAGTTTTTTACAACAGTGTCGTTGAATCATCAATTCACCTCAACACCTCAAACTTTTGAAAACGGGTTTCAAAGTGCGACTTTTTGAAAACGACAGTTATATCTGTGTAAACTGTGAAAATGCAAATGTTCTGTGAAACTGTGAAAACATTGATGTTATGCACATGCGTATTATATGTTTGCGTTGTTTCTTCACAAAGTGACATCGCCACCTACTGGTCTGGAGTGCATAATACAGCGTTTTTAGTAGTTGTCTTAGATCTGTGTGAACAGGAATCATTTTGACCACGTTGTCTGCACGCGAAAAACACAAATGAAAACTTTACACAGCACATCTGTCATTGCAGCAGACTAATAAGAATTTCTGAGTACATTACATTGAACCTGTAAATGCGGAGTAAAAACGTACCGGCCAGACTAGTTGGTGTGTACAGCGCTCTCATTTCTGGAAAGTGTGAACGCAGTTTGTTTAGTAACTAATTTTTAAGGTTAAATCTCAGGAAATCTGTCCAAAACATGTCTTGGGTGACATTTCATCAAATTTGGCTAAAGAAAATGAAGCTTGTTTTAGGCTATTAAAATTGACCATCAACATTTTTAATGTTATTTTCCCCTAAAATACTCAAAGTGATTAATATGCTGTTTGTTGCGCAACTGTGTTTGAATATGTGCTAATTCTGATTTTACTGAAATCAGAATCACAGGAAAATTTGGAATGACAAAAAAGGTATTATGTAGTTTTGCTGTAAAATTTGACATGAAAATAATATTGCAATGCAAAAACTGTCTATAGTCCTATTTATAGGCTTTAAAATAAAATGTCTTTTTTTCCTTTGGATTGACTGAAGATGAAGAGAGAAAACAGTGTATATGATTATAGCAGACACAATCACTTTTCAGTCAAATAAACCGTGTTTTTACAACGTGGCGTCGTCGACTCGCTAATGCACCTCGACACCTCAATCCTTCAGATATTGTTTTCTCAATCTGTTTTGTTCTTATGTTGAGTGCTGCTTCCTGACTGTTGGAATGTACTCCTGTCGCTATAATAGAGCGGAGTGTTTGCATTTGCATTGAGTTTGCTGTGAAAGGCGGCATTCTGTTGGCTGGCACCTGGGGCCGTGCGAGAAAAGAGCAAAGCACAGACAAAAGACGAGTGCAAAAATCCAGGCCCAGGGATGGCCTGAGCACCACACACAAACCCCAAGCCGCTGGAGCAGCAGGAGTGGGCTGAACAAAAGCCACCCTGTAAGAGAGCCGGCCAAAGGGAGCGGAGGAGAGCAGAGACCCCTCCTTTTCCCACCATCATGCCTTCCCTGCCATGTATTACTGGCTTGGCTGCATTATCCATGGCAGCCTAATCGGGCCAAAGGAACGTTGTCCTAGATTGCTTTCCCTCCCCCTCGTTGGGCCGAGCGCCCCGGCGCCTGATTCCAGGCTGCTGACCCCGCAGGCCCGGCCGATCCTATTTGTCACTTATTAAAGGCGAGGGAGGTGTTTGGGGAACTGGAGGCCGTTTCAGTGGAGAATTAATGACAGCGACACAGAACACCCTCACACCAGGCACACTTACCGCAGATCTCTCTACCCTCCCATCAACTAAACGCCCAGTCGCTCACCAGAGGTGCTTCCCTTCCGTGTTCAATGCTGAAGCAACCAAACACAAGCCCGGTTCAAGAATCAAAGTTCTGAGGGGCATTTTCATGACAAAATTTACACGACAGCGTTTTGAAAGAGCAAACTTTTTTTGTTATTGTCTCCGTGTAAAATACAAAAATGTGAATTTGTGAAAAAAAAAAGCGTATTAGTGTGTCTTTAAAGAGTGACATCGCCAACTACTGGCCTGGCATGCATAATACAGCATTTCAAGTTGTTTTTGTGTCATCTAGTACATGAGAAATGTAAAGGAAAACTTTTTTTTAGTACACAGTCATGCAAACGTGTATGAAAGCCCGTTTCTGCCACTGAATAAAAAATGTAAAAAAGGTTATTTTGACTTTTTATCTCACAATTCGGACTTTTTTTCACAGAATTGTGAGATATAAACTCGCAATTGAGAGTTAAAGTCCAATTTTGAGGGGGCGGGGACTGATATGTTCCCAGAATTGCGACTTTACGTCTCGCAATTGCGAGTTTATATCCAGTGTTGGGGGTAAAGCATTACAAGTAACGCGAGTTACATAATCAGATTACTTATTTCAAGTAACTAGTAAAGTAACGCACTACTTTTTTAATTTACTAGAAAATATCTGAGTTACTTTTTAAAAAAAGTAATGCCAGTTACTTTGTTTTCCCATGTATTGACTGACAGCTCTCCTGTCCCCATATTGGGAGAAATCGGGAGTACAGAGGCGTTGTGTGCGCTGTGTGAACATGATGTTACTGTAGTTCTAGACTAAATGTGAATGTGCATTAATTCATCCCACTCACAAAAAACAGATTTAGTATTCATCAAAATGAATTAAAACAGTGAAATGCAAACTCAGAATATGACGCAAACCTGCAATAATTAAATGTTACATAACACAAATGTATCTAATCCCATTGTCTTTGCTGCTGACCTTTGATGATCCAGTTCAACCATACTAATAAGCAAAAATGACTTTAGATAAACTAACAATTTTTATTGCTGAAGAGTGTTTCTTCTCCTGCGTTCTACTGTGCAGATGTGAATTTACTTTTGCTTCAGCCTGAGGTTTATTAATTACACTTTTTGCTGTGAAAGGGCTTTTACATTTGCTATAAATATAATTTTTATATTAAAAACAATCAAGCCCTGCTCATATTTAAAAAGTAACGCGAAAGTAACACAAAAGTAATGTAACGCATTACTTTTCATACAAAGTAACGTAATTAGTTACTTTTGTAGGGCGTAACGCAATATTGTAATGCATTACTTTTAAAAGTAACTTTCCCCAACACTCTTTATATCACACAATTATGACTTTTTAACTCACAACTGCGAGTTTATATCACGCAATTCTGAAAAAAAAAGTCCGAATTGTGAGATAAAGTCGCAATTACCTTTTTTATTCAGTGGCGGAAACGGGCTTCCATAAACGTGCCCTTAATGCACATCTATTTTGGCATATATTTTTGTTCTGTCCAATGCTATGGTTATCACTATGTCAGTCATTGCAATTTCGAGAGTAATTGGCAGCACTCCCTTTATAATCACGCTTATCTCAGTTCATCGAGATCTCTCGAATTTCCTAAATATAAAGTTCCTTTATAATCATTGAAACTCTGCACTGCACAATGAAACGCTTTACATTGTGTCTACACTTTGTTACAATGAGAGGATTCGCCGCAGAACTCAGCACTGGACAAGAACACTGGCATTTTGAGCCGGGAGAGGAACGCCTCTGATTGGCCATCGCGTTCTAGAAATCAACAGATATGTCTGTGATTGGCTGTATTGCTCAACACTGCAAAAACACATTGTAAATAAAAATAATACATCTCCATAATGCAAACACAAATATGTGATAGAATGTTAACCTTCTAGACTAGAGGATGTAGTATGTAAATTATGAATTAGCCTAATGTTTTGTGAATTTATAGGGTAAAACAGGGTAAGATGTCCCCCTTTGTTATTTATTTAATAGATTGCTCAAAATCTTTGATGAACAGCCATTCTCTTCGTAATTTTGTCATTTCATCTAAATAGCAACATTTGTGAGATTTAGTCAGCTGAGGTTAATCGATCTAATTTTTGTATCTGGAAAATACCGATCCATGGCATGGTGTTATGTTATGAATATTGAAGTTTTTTTTTTGTTAATGAGGAATTTGTGGATGCATCAATGTTTTTAGGCTAATATAGTGAGCTCATTCCATTTAAAATCATAGTTAAAATATAAGCAGTTAAATGCTATGTAAACATTTATATGCCTGTGAAGAATAGTAATAGAAAGACATCTCTGTAATTGGCAACAATGCTGCAAAAAAAATACAAAAAAACATTGTAAATGGAAAACTTTTGATGTTAGTCAGACAGCAAGACTACTATATATAGCACATATACAGCACTTCCAAGAAAATAAACGACATTTTCAAGGAAAAAAAAGGCAAAATGAAAAACAAATATTTTTGTTTAGCTACTAATAACTGTAATTGATGACAAATTTTACATTATGCAATTTTGTCGTGGTACAGAATTGTTCCGTTTTTTTCAGTTTACTGTAAAACTAGTTACAAACCAGTTGCAGGCTTTTTTAAACACTGCAATGTGTTTTTTTCTGAAGAGTGAAAAAGTGATAAAACTATTCCAACTAAACTACATCCAAACAGGTGAGTGTCTAAAAGCAGGTTTCAGAAGGTAGTTCAGTTTCAGTTTAGCTTTGGACCCTAAAACAGAAATTACAACGCAATTATAAGGTTTTGGGCTGATATTTTTTTTTCGTTTAAACCAAACTAATGTACATTCTAATGTTTAACCGCCATGCTTATATGTATATATTTTTTAGTTATCTTTTTTAGTGAGCTACCTTGTTCAATTATTGATGCCACTGCAGTCAAGATTTATTTCAGGGCTGCTTCAGAATAACAAGAGGGCAAAAGTAAGTCCAGTTATACTAGTATCTTTAATTACAGTGCATTTCTGTCAAAATGAAAAAAATAAAATAAAATAAAACATAGGTTAAGAGTCACATTATACAACATTTTGCTAAGAGATTCACATAATTTCGACCCAAAGTAATCAGTGTCTACCAAATTAGAGGTTAATTGGGAAAGAGAGAGAGAAAAAGATAAATAATAAAGTAACTTTAAAACCATCAGCCTTTACATTGTTTAACATTGAACATGAAGATTATTAATTTGAAACGGGAGTCTCGGTTTGTCATAAAGGCACTACGGCTAGTCTGGGGGAAAATTACATCTACATGCACAACAGAAAGCTCATTGATATTATTAACATGCCAACACTCTGGAGATATGTTTTGGGTTATGTCCTAAAACAATAAAAATGCACAAATGATTTTTTTTGAGAGATCAAGTTATAAGCATGTGGTTAGATGAGACTGTTGTTTATTCCAAGTGGTGGTTAGATTTGGAGTCCAAAATAAGAAATCGAAAGTAACACTTAAACCGAGTGTCAAAACAACATGAATTTTAACGCTAGGTGCATAAAACCAATCTTTCAGTTTCTCTTTCTGGGTAAATCTTAAAAAAAAAAAAAAAACATTTTCAGGTCACATTTAACCACCCATAAATAAAATAAACATAATATTTTGCATATAGAAAATGAAACCTATTTTTGCAAAACAATTCCATTTTTATATCGTCACATTGTTTTCATGAAACAACCTCAAGTTCCTCTAAAAAAAATAAAAATCTCATTACTGTTACGTGTCTGAATGTATTTGTTACTTGAATGTATTTACGTGCCTGAATGTATTACTTCACCCTCCTACAAACCTTGATTAACCTGAGCCACGCCAACATTTCTCCCACATACTCACAACAAAACATCTGTTGTGTATTGGGAATCTCATAACAGAAAAATCTTTGTGTAGCTGTCTTCACAACTCTATGGCTCCTAAAGCATCAAGACAGTAAAGCTAGCGGTCACTTCAGCCTTTGCTGAGAAGACAGTGTAATCGTTTTTGGTTTCTTTTCCTGGAAATTGAACCGTTATATGTGCAGGTAGTGTCTGTAATGTTTGATTTCCCGTACTCCGTTCAAGACAAACATAACAGCTTCGTTTACAGTACGTCTAAGAAAGAGTCTTATTAGAAGCACAATAAAATAATACATGCGCAAGATTCAAATGAGACCTGAAGTGACGTTCTTAAAACTCTTTCCAATGACTCGGGCAGTAAGAACGGGAAAAAAAGACGAAAGGCTTGCATAATGGTGCTCAAAAAGCTGCCTCACAACAAAAAAAGATTTACATTAAATGAGAGAGCAACACTGTGACTGTAGGGCCCTATTCTTCCGTGTTAATGGGGTTTGAAATGAGTGCAGCTTCCAGCACCGTTTCTTTAAAAACAAAAGAGTAAAGCAAGTGTTGAGAATATCGAACTAAGGTTGTTATTTCTGGTTTTTCAGTTGATTGGACAACCAGTCGAGTCCTTCATAGAGGCCGTCGCCGCTTGTGGCGCATGTGGCCTGAATGTACCAGTTCCTGTGCCGGAGCGAATGCAGCCCCAGCTTGTCCGTGATTTCTGCAGCGTTCATGGCGTTCGGTAGGTCCTGTCGGACAAACACGTGTCAAATGTGTAACTGGAAAGAAGTGCATGTAATCAGTTGAAAGCTGTTAGTACCTGTTTGTTGGCAAACACGAGCAAGACTGCTTCCCTGAGCTCATCCTCAGCCAACATCCTCATCACCTCCTCTCGCGCCTCATTCACACGCTCTCTGTCATTGCTGTCAACCACAAAGATCAGACCTAACCCAAGAAGAAAAAACAAGCAGATTAATAGACTGGTGTGAGTGACAGAAATGGCTAAAAATGGAACTGACATCAGATCGATTACACAAAACATTTTTTTTAATATTTTGTCCCAGGCATAAATGTGACCCTGGACCACAAAACCAGTCATAAGGGTCAATTTTTGAAAATTGAGATTTATACATCATCTGACAGCTGAATAAATAAGAGTTCCATTGATGTATGGTTTGTTAGGATAGGACAATATTTGGCACAGATACAGCAGAATCCGAGGGTGCAAAAAAATCTAAATATTGAGAAAATCGTCTTTAAAGTTGTCCAAATTAAGTTCTGAGCAATGCATATTACTAATCAAAAATTAAGTTTTGATATATTTACGGTAAGAAATTTACAAAATATCTTCATGGAGCATGATCTTTACTTAATGTCCTAATGATTTTTGGCATAAAAGAAAAATTTACAATTTTGACCCATACAATGTATTGTTGGCTATTGCTACAAATATACCCCAGAGACTTAAGACTGCTTTTGTGCTCCAGGGTCACAATTAAGAATTTTGGCATAAACATGTAAATTACATGCATTAAAATGATTGTCAGTGAAAGAAAGTGAGTGATTAAATCATTTAATACAAATAAATAAAGAGTCGTTCTGATATTATTGATCAGAACATCTCTTTTCCCGTCCCTAAAAATGTACACATTTGCACAGTCTTCTTGCAAACACTCATTTAAATGTCATTTTGTCAACTAGGTGGCTACAGCACATTGAAAATATACATAAATCACATTTAGCAAACCGAACTATTTTGAAAGTGCGTCACGAAGCTCAGTGCAAGAAGTCCATACTGACAAAAACTGTCCAAACGTGCAGATTCGTTCGGTCTAGGTGTATTTTGAGATAACAGTCAGCTAACTGTAAACCACAGTGGCATGTTGGAATCCCCCCACATTTACAAACCCAAACCTATGACCCAACCGATCTTATAATGTCATTGCAGCAACCTGATTAACAAAAACAGACAGTACTACTGACAGAGGTTTCTGGCAACAGTCAACACACACAGATTACATAAAATCAACTGGACTTCCCAACATACTGTATGACTTGGGGAAAACTCTCACCTTGTGTGTTCTGGAAATAATGGCGCCACAAAGGTCGAATCTTATCTTGACCACCGACGTCCCAAACTGTGAAACTTATATTCTTGTACTCCACAGTTTCAACATTAAAACCTTGAACACAAAACAGAAACCACATATAAGCATTCATTCGCTTTTCAGCCGCTAATATCGGGAAATAGATCTGTCACCTAGGGCTGCACGATTAATCAAATGCGATTGTCATGCGCATTTTGTTAGTAATGCCGGTTCTGTAATCAGCAGTAAATCATCATCACGTGCTTTCAGATGGAGCAGCATTTACTACACAGAGCCGTAGTTCACTGACAAGTTACGCAAAAAATTAAAAATAAATAAAAATAAAAATTCGAAGACGATTTTATTGCGCGATTCTGAAATCGTTGGCGATAATGACAGCTGTTTGCATAGCTTCTCAGTGAACTACGGCTCTGTGAAGTAAATGCTGCTCCATCTGAAAGCATGTGAAAATACCACTCGTGCAGCCCTACAGTCACCTACCGATTGTTGGGATGGTGGTAACAATCTCCCCCAGCTTCAGCTTATACAGAATCGTCGTCTTTCCAGCAGCATCAAGACCCACCATAAGAATTCTCATCTCTTTCTTACCGAAGACTTTAAAAAGGTTTGCGAATAAGTTGCCCATGTTTGCCAGACGCCTTTCTCACTCCACTGAAACAGAACAGGACAAAAAGCTCATTAAAAGCACTGTCTTCCAACAGGATCGAATGTAAAGTAATCAATACACATACATAGTGTAAATGACCCTATACACACCACGGTTATGAATAAAGTGGCTAAACTAAATGTGTCACTCAAGTTCACAGCATACCTGGCTCTCCGAGTATAACAGGTACAACAACTGACTCTTTAAACAAACCAGGAAAAGCTGCAAAAAAGCTCTCATGAAAAAATAACACACACACAAGTCTTTATAATCATTTATTTTAATAACAAATCTGATCTGACTCCATAGCTTGGACAAGCATTCCTAAAATAATACTTACTATTCAGAGGCGATAGCAGAAAAGTGTAGAATCATATCTTATCCGTTTAGGGACAAATATAGATTTCAGTGAGGTTTAACTTTTCAGGTCCCTATAATTATTTCAGATAATAAGTTGATTAAACTAGTTTTTGTGGTTGATTATTAAAGGCGATACTCAGACATAGTATTTAAAAACAAAGTTGAGCTCAACAGTTGAAACAAGTTTATGTATTAAATCATTTATGCAACATTAGTTACTTCAGAAGTAAAGTTGACTGAATTCATAGATGTTTGTTTCCTTTGTCACAGACACTCGGAATTAATTCGGATGTAATAAACACCGAAATTCTCATTCTAATCTTTCCCCCCCCCCACGGGTAACATATCACACAATACTATGTGTCGTTTGTTAGCATGGTGGTAACGTTTCGAATACTAAATACGTTTTTCAAAAATAAAAACTCACAGTTCAAGTTTCCTCCTTAACTTCAAGGCGCTTCCACCCTCAAGATGGCGGGTTTCCGGCCACGTCAGTGCGTCATGCATCACTTCCGCCGAGAAGGTGATGTTAAACAGCAGAGAACTCTGTAGGTCAGGTTTGGTACCACACGTGTTTGGTGCTTTTAAAAAAAAATGGTTTTCACAATTTGTGACTCGAGTACAACACGCACACACGTAAAGCAATATGTTACACTGCTTTTTGAGCGATTTAAAATGTGCTTTATTGTGGTTATGTCGATGTAACGGACTTGGCATGTTAACATTTGCTCTCAAAGGCAATTATGATTGTCTCAGCATTTATGTTATGGCAATAAAGATTAAAAAAAAAAATCTTTAAATAAAAGAGGCCATTTTGGGTGGCCATTCTACAAAAAAAAAAATAAAAATAGAGTAGTAGTAGTAGTAGAAGTAATAATAATAATTAGGTAATATTAAAAAAAGATTTGTTCAAAAGTGCAACTATAATTCTGTCTCATTTATCACATTGGAAATAGATGTCTAATCAAGCTCATTGCTCGGTGTCCTTTGCCGACTATGCTTGACTTTCAATTCAGTGCTTGAATTTATATTTAGGCAAGCCCACTGTTTCATAATTTTGTTCTTTTTGAGATGAGCACAATATTTGTACACCTAAAAATGTCATTTTTATTATTCTTGCTTTGCAGGCGTTTTAGGCACATCGTTGCTTCTTATGCATACAAAGGCGCTAATTCATTTGTGTGGCATCAAAGTATGTTGAAAGCAGAAAGCTCACTTTCTCAAGGCCAGGTTAACAGCTGCTGCACCTCTGGGGGTGGACGTTCGAGACCCCAGCTCCCCGTCTCCTCCACGCTGGCACAGACATATTAATAGTGCAGCGAAGAAGCACAAAGCTTCCTGTGTGTGAGGTGATGGGTGCATGTGTAAGAACTACATTGTGACAAACTGACTATTGCTGAATCATCAGGCAGTAGATTGATGTTGATTTTGAAAATGCAACCAAAAAATTAACATTAATATATAATGTATAAATATATTATTTTTCATAATGTCATGTTTAGATGAATAAAAATCGACATAATCCATATTAACTATAACAACATTGCCGTTGTAGATATAATGACTTATATTTGTATGTAGCATAGAAACTAGTGGTTAACTAACATGGTTTGTTCAATAGCCAATGCCAGTACCATTATGTAAAGTGCAGGGATATATAGCATATTACAATTTAATAAAACGAGATTTGCATATCATATCTAAAATTGTAAATGAACAGTTATTTTACACAACTAAACATTTTGTAAATATTATTATAAAACGGAGAGTTCCGGTCCTTGATTCTGATTGGCTGAGCCACGTTCGAAGCTGTTGTAAATTACTCTACAAACATACACCTTTGTTTATGTTTGTGTGTTGCTCGGCAACCACTTTGTTGCAACCACAACTGATTCTGAGGAACTACATTGTTTGGTTGAAGTATAATGTTTTTATTAATATCATTACACTTTATTTGCTCTGTTTTATTTTGTGAAACCTTACTACGTATATGGAATAACCGTTTTATAAAAGCAATAAGCCCCAAGAAGCCATGGTTTACAGTGAATTTATAACAGCTAAGGAGGGTTTAGGCACTCCGCTTCGCATTGTACCTAGCTAACAACGCCACTTAGCTGTTATAAATTCACTGTAAACCATGGCTTCACGGGGTTTATTGCTTTATTTTATCCAGTGCGAGTCTTCCGTGTTTTGGTATGTTTAAATGAAAGCAATAAACCCTGTGAAGCCGTGGTTTACAGTGAATTTATAACAGCTAAGGGGCGTTGTTAGCTAGGCACGATGCGAAGCGGAGTTTATCCAGTGTGAGTCTTCCGTGTTCTGGTATGTTTAAATTAAAGGGGTCATATGATGCTTTTTTTAAGATCATTATTTTGTGTATTTGGTGTAACAGAATATGTTGACATGCTTTAATGTTCAAAAAACACATTATTTTTCAAATACTGTACATTATTGTAGGTTGAATTTATAACAGCTAAGGGGTATTGTTAGCTAGGCACGACGCTTAGCTGTTATAAATTCACTGTAAAACACGGCTTCTTGGGGCTTATTGCTTTAATTTAAACATACCAGAACACGGAAGACTCGCACTGGATTTTTCCACCCTAAATACTTGCTCTGTTGTGGATTTCCAACAACTTTTCCCTCATTTACGTTTATTTAAATTTTTGAACAGGTACTTTTTGCCTGTATTTTTTTTTCCTTAAAAAGCCTAGATCAGGCAAATTCTCAGATCTGTTTATGTTGATGGTATTTCTTTGTTTGCAGGAGTTAGTAAATGAATCAGTCCACCAGAGGGGGCAGCAAAGCGAGATCACAGCAGGAACGGAAGGATTCAGAAAGAAAACAATAACATCTAAAAGAGGTGAGAAATATACATTTTGTTTCTTTAAAAAATGGCGAGGGCCAAGTTTATTTACACAGATGTAGGTATGTGAGTATCACTGATGTATGCCAAATTATGATGTATTTTTATTCTTCAAGATGCATTGCGTCACATTCCACATTTTAATATTTATTTAATGTACAATCAAGCAGGCCACAAGATTCTACTGCTTGTATTTGACTAAGCTATGACAGGCAAGGTACTGTAAATAACTGATTATTAGTATTAAACAAAAAATTATATAATGCACCGAGTGTTACAATACAGTCAATACTATTTTGTTAGAAAATATGTTTGCAAAATATTCTGAATAGTGAACATATGTTGAATCAAACCACACAGGTTCCAAGTTCATTACATTTAGACTACGCTTAACAGTTACAATACACGTTTAACAATTTGTAACAATATACAGTACTGGATATATAAATACAATATATAAAGCAGTATAAACTCCAAACTTAGATTTCGGTGGCAAAACAGTTCATTTGACACAACAAACATTTGTGAGAGGCAGCGTAGTTCTGTGATGCCTCGAAAACAGACAGCACAGTTACGCCAAGTCAGTATCCTGCAGTCATATTAATAAATGCACTTAAAAAGATCAAATGAACGAGATCCAACAGCAACAAAGTACTGTTCAGGGTGAAAGAGAAGTGGAAAGATCTGGAATCAGTGACAACAGGAGCTGCATCTCCCTCCCAACAGCAGCAGATGAAGAGAACGATTCTGAAAGGTTCAAAACACCTCAATGGCTTTGTGTCAAATTCTGCTTCTTCAACAACAACAAAAGCCACCGGATTCACTCAGTTCACTGTTATGGAAACAGTGCGTAAGATATTTGCATGCCAACATAATTGTGTGTTGAAGCTCATGTACTAACCACAAAGAAGTCTGCACTTCGTTATCAAAATAAATATGGCATATTCTTGAAACATTAAAAAATAAAGAGTTTTAAAAATGGCAGAATAAGGTTAAAGTAATCATGTCTTCATGTCACTTATTGGACCAACAGCAACAAAAATGGTGGTTAGCTGCTTAATCTATTTAATACTATCATTTATAATCAACAATCATCATTTCATAATCACAGAAGAAGAGAAAAATCTCCATACAGCATGCAAAAAGGACAAGGTTGCTCTTGATAGCTCAGGAGAATTGAGGTATTAGTTAGTTTTTCCACGATGGAATATAAATCCCCTTCTGAACACTTGATTCTGATTAGCTGACTGACATTTTAAGTTGTTAATTATTTTAGCAGTATCCCAGTGATATAGTACTGTGATTAAGCCATATGCACAATGCCACAGGCTGAACAACTGCATGATTACTGGTGTGATATATATAAAATATTGAGAAAATCTTCTTTAAATTTGTCCAACTGAAGTTCTTAGCAATGCATATTACTAATCAAAAAATAAGCTTTAATATATTTACAGTAGGAAATTTACAAAATATCTTTATGGAACATGATCTTTACTTAATATCCTAATGATTTTTGGCATAAAAGAAAAATCGATAATTTTGACCCATACAATGTATTGTTGGCTATTGCTACAAATATACCCCAACGACTTAAGACTGCTTTTGTGCTCCAGGGTCACATTTGATTGTGTACGGATCCACACTTCGAAAATTTACCCAAAATAGTAGACCATTCGGGAACTTTAGCATACTATTTTCAACATACTATGGATTGGAACACACAACTTATTTTAATCTCACATTTTTTGGGGGTGTATAGTATGCACATCAGTTCTTTGTCAGTTCATACTTTAACATGTTTAGGTTAGACCGTTGCGTTTTGCTGCTACATTACTCATTACTTTAATAATATTGATGTTGCCACCTCGTCATTGAGAAATGTAGTTAAACTAATGACTTTCCTGAAAAATGTTGTAAGTTAAATATATAAGTGGAATAACTGAATGCAGGTGTCAATAATTCGTCGCTTAGCACGCTCTGCAACACATATTTGCCACTCATCTTAATAGATTCATTAGTATTAGAGAGCAACAATAACTTAAGAAAAAGAATAAATATGTAGAACAGCAAATAGTTGTGGACAGGCTCATCAATCTGTGCTGCAGGTTTTATTTATAGGGTCACTTACCAC